ATGGTCGTCATGCTTTCTGTTTACACTCAACAAAGGAATGGAGATCCACGGGAAATAAAATCATTAGGGGTTTACTTACAGCACTTGAAGAGCTGCATTGGAAAGTAAAAAATGACACACGACAATCTAGGGGACCTAAATAACATAGTGTTGTGCCGAAATGATGGTAGGTGGGATGTTAAGTTTAAAGGGCTAAAAATTAAATATATTAAGGACAAACTCTTTGAAATCCACTCTCTCAAGCGGAAGCCCATTAGCCATGATATGAAGGCTCACAAAAAGCATCAGACTACAATGGATGCTTGCCAACCCGGAAAACACTAACTATAAAATCCCCACTGCCTTCATTATTTCTCCCTTTCTTCCGCTGCACCCACACGCGGGCCTCCGTTATTCATTTCCTCTCCATCCGCTCTTTCTCTCGCCGATTCCAGTCGGCGAATTCCTTGCCAAGGGCAAAAAATTTGGAGCTATCCATGGCTGAGAAACCACTTTCATCTATCAAAGAGGCGGTGCCCCCTTGGAGGAATGCTGCAAAATGTAGGAGATCTTATCTTGCTTGTGGTGTAGGGATGGTGCCCGTGCGGTCCATCTCAGAAGTAATGTACCAAGCAACGACATAGGGTTGGTGCAATAGTGGAAACATTGAGATTTTGGCTTTTAAAAAAGCTACCACACTAACTAAACAGGCTGTGAGTGTGGTCCTTTCTAGCGTGCACACCTTCTGTGAAGGGGTAGAAAGACATTTTTTGTATAATGACTTCACCTTAACTTTGGTCGAGTACCATAGGATGTATGGTCGTTATACTTTCTTTTTACACTTGACGGAGGAATGGAGATCCATGGGAAAGAAAATCACTAGGTTTTACTTGCAGCACTTGAAGAGTTGCATTGGAAAGAAAAAACGGTACACGACAATCTAGGGGACCTAAAGAACATAGTGTTGTGCCAAAATGATCGTGGGTATGATGTTAAGTTTCAAGGGCTAAAAATTAAATGTATTAAGGACAAAGACTTTGAAATCTGCTATCTCAATCTTGAGTCCACAGTCTTGGAGACTATTTATCGTCCCGGGAAGGCCATTAGCCATGATAAGAAGGCTCACAAAAAGCATCAGCCTACAATGGATGCTTGGCCAACTGGAAAACACTCACTATAAAATCCCCAATGCCTTCATTCTTTCCCCCTTTATGATTGAGTGTTTCTACCTGGTAAAAATTTCTTTGATTTGCTCTCAAGTGAGTTTTAAATTATATTAGGTGAGTTTACTTATCTTCGTTCATTTGCAGGTGGTGAAGCAGTCAGTGTCTTCCTATGTCCTGATGAGATCAGCAATGAAGAGGACCGACGAGGGCTCTAGTGCGGTAGCTGCAGTAGAAAAGCGATTTGCGGAGGAGCAGAGCGATCTGCAGGTCGGGCGACACAAATCAGTCAACTAGAGAGCCGGCTTCAGAGGGCGATGGAGAAGTTGGAGGAGGCCCGAGCTGCAGAGGGTCATACCCAAGAGGAGTTGATCGGGCGAGGGAAGAACGAGAGTCTCAGTGGGCATGCCAGGCCGAGCTCTGCCCCAGGGCCGATTCTCCAATGGGTGCTTGAGTCGTTGTAGTCGGTCTACTTTGTTTAATTTAGTGGTTGTTTTATGCGTTCTTTGTTGCTTTTCGTACCAATTTGGAATTTAAAATATAATTCACGAACCATGCTTTTTTATTATTATAAACTTTGCTAAGGGCGAGCGCTTTTATTACATGAATGTGAAATACCTACATAGGTGCATGGCGTTCCCTGTTTTATACATGTCTTTACCCTCGACATCTCCAAGTTTCACTATGTTGGAACCGATCACTTCTTTTACCCTATATGGGCCTTCCCACTTGGGTATGAACTTCCCAAGACCTTCACCGGGACGAAAATTTCGTCGAAGCACCCAATCCCCAACTTAGAGAGGTCGCTCTCTCACCTTAGAGTTATAGTATCGAGCAACCCTTTCTTGGTTGGCAACCAGGCATAGCCGAGCATCTTTGCGGTGTTCTTCTGCTAGGTCCAGGTTGTGTGTGAGCTCTTCATTGTTGGCTTCCGCGAGGAAGGTTTCGACTTGGTATGATTACAGTTCTATTTTAATGGGTAACATCACATCAGTGCCATAAGTGAGCGCGTATGGAGTGTCCCCTGTGGCAATCTTGTAGGTGGTTTAGTGAGCCCTCAAGACATGAGAGAGCTCTTCCACCCACTTTCGTTGGGCATCGTCTAGACGGGTTTTAAGTCCCCATAAGATATTTTTGTTGGCAGACTCCGCATGACCGTTGGCTGGGGTAGGAGACAAATGTGTATCGAAGGAGAATGCCATACTGAGCACAGTACATTTGAAGGTCCTGACTCTTGAACTGTGTTCCTTGAACCAACACAATGGTGTAAGGGAGGTTGAACCGACAGATGATGTGGGTCCATAGGAACTTCACAACTTGTTGGGTGGTCATGCCGGTCAGAGCATCAACCTCTACCCATTTGGTGAAATAGTCGATAACGACTATCAAATACTTTTTCCACCCGGGGGTCTGGGGAAAAGGACCGAGGAAATCCATTCCACACTGGGTGAAAGGCAATGGGCTGAGATTTCTTTGTAGTGGTGCCGTGAGTGCATGGGTACTCGGGTGGCAATTTGGCACTTGATGAATACCTTATCATACTCACGGGCGTCGCGTTGAATTATCGGCCGGTAATACCCTTGGAGGAGGAGAGATTTTTCTAGACTACGCGGGCCTGCATGCATGGAGCATGTCCTTTGGTGAACTTCCTAGAGAGCAAAGTGGGCCTCGCACGTACTAAGGCACCAGAGATACGGGCCTGAAAAACTCTTTTTGTACAGGGCGCCGTCAATCATAATGTATAAAGGCGCCCGACGCTTCAAACAAACCGCCTCTTTATGGTCGGCCGGAAGGATGCCATGCTGGAGGTATTCGATCATTGGCGTGTGCCAGTCTCGGGGGAGTGTCAAAGTGGTTGTCTGAGGGCACAACAAGGTGGGCCGATGTTCGATAATAACATGTCTCTCATCCAAAAAAGGAGTTGCCAGTTTAGAGAGAGCATCCTCATGAAAGTTTTCTTCTCGTGGAATGTGGATGACGCGAGCATCAATAAAGTTGGCCAAAGCCGCCCACACTGCATTAGCATAAGCCAAGAGTGCCGGCTCTCGTATTTCAAAAGTATCCACTTGATTGACCATGAGTGTTGAGTCTGAGTGAACGATGAGGCTTTGTGCCTCTAGTTCTTGCGCCATTGAGAATCCCGCTAGTAAAGCTTCATATTCCGCGACATTATTGGCTTTTGGAAATGTGAATCTTACAGCTAGCTCATGACAAAAATCGAGGGGCTTATTAGGAGAACCCCAACGCTTGCCCTGGACTTGTTGGAGACACAATCGACGAACAACCCCCAAGTCTCTATTGTTGGCGGAGGTTGACCACGAATTCCCTTGGCCATGAAGTCAACAAGCACTTGTGACTTAATGGTCTTTCGGGGTACGAAGGTAATGTCAAACTCGCTCAACTCAATGGCCCAGTTGATCATGCGTCCGACAACATCCATTTCTTAAGAAGGCGCCGAAGGGATAGGTGCGTCAGGACACAGATGGGGTGAGCCTGGAAGTAAGGGTGCGTAATTCGGGAGGCAACAACTACGGCCAATGTTGCTTATTCGACGGGAGTATATAAGGTTTCAGCATCAAGGAGAGTTTTGCTGGTGTAATATACTGGATGATCAATTTTGGTCGAATCTTTTCGTACTAAGAACGCGCTCACAGCCTTGAAGGACACAACAAAGTACAAGTAGAGGACTTCATTATTCTTGAATGCCCTCTCACACTCGGGGTCCACTCAAAGGTGTTACAAGCACCTTTAAGCATAGTAAAGAATGGAGCACATCTATCACGGCCCCGGCTATAAAGAAATTGAGAGCTGCTATGCGCCCGACATTTACTTGAACTTCTCGGGCTTTGGTGGGAGGAGGCATTTGAAGGATTGCATCAATCTACCGAGGGTTAGCTTCGATCCCTCTTTGGGTGAGCATGAAGCCAAGGAACTTGCCAGCGGTTGCACCAAAAATGCACTTTTTTGGATTGAGGCGGAGGTCACACAGGAGCATAGTGGTGAGTGTTTCCATCAAATCTTCGAGGTGGGCGCTCACCCCGATGCTCTTTATCAGGATATCATCGACGTATGCTTCTACATTCCTTCCTAGGTGGCGAGAAAAAACTCGATCCACTATACGCTGCTACGTGGTGCGAGCATTTTCCAGGCAGAAGGGCACAACTTCATAACAGTAGTTTCCGACAGGTGTCACGAAAGTCGTCTTTTCTTGGACTTCTTTCTTTATTTGGAATTTGGTGGTACCCGGAGAACATGTCTAGGAAGGTGAGGAACTGGTGCCCGTTGAGCTGGTCGATTTTTGGGAGAGGATATAGGTCAGTGAAATCCACACACATATGCCACTGACCACTTGACTTTTTAACCATGACGACGTTGGCCAGCCGTGTTGGGTAATGAACATCCCTGATAAACCAGAATTTAAAGAGTTTGGTGACTTCATCGGCCACCGCCGAACGTCTTTTCTATGCAAAGTTACGCCACTTTTGTTGGACTGGATAGGCCGCCGGGAGCATTCCTAGTGTGTGTTTGGCCTCCAGGAGGACCCCAGGCATATCTTCTGCACCCTAGGCGAATACCTCCCCAAATTCCTGGAGTAATGTAAGGAGGGAGTGGACTGACTCTCAGGCGATCGATATGTGAACCGTGTGTTCATCGACGAGTGAGAAATCCTCATCGACGTCAACATGAACTGGGCGGGCAATTTCATCCCAGGCGTCAATCGCGACAATTGCCTTTTTTTCCTAGGACATAGCGCAACATTGTTGAGCCTTCAATGTACTTCTTTAGATATCCTTCTTGAACAAGATCTTCTATGGAATTCTTTAGAGTCCAACAACGTTATGTATCGTGACCATAACCCTAATACTTGTTCTTCCCCTTTCGTGGTTCCTTAGTCATTGGAGCTAGCCACACAATCAGGATTTTCTTCTCTTGAATGATTTGCAAAATGGTTCTGAATGGTTCCGTGAGGAGAGTGAAAGGGCGTTCCGCCTTGGGTTCAATACCGTCCCGACGAGCATCACGACAACCAGTCTTTTTAAAGGCGGGCGGCGAACGACCATGTGGGCGCCCATAGGCCCGGGGTGAGTCTGCCCTTCTTTGAGGTGGGGAATCACGCTTCCTCTTAGGTGGAGGCGATCGACCTCTCTTGTTTGGGGTTGCCTCTTGCAGAGTCTCGTCAAGGGTGATGTACTTAGAAACTTGTTCTTGGAGATCCTTCATGTTGCGAGGGCGACACTTTATGAGTGAGTCTAGGATGAGGGCGTTGTTGATCTCAAATATGAGGGCATGTGTTGCATTATCTATGGAGAGAGTGGTTACCCCGACAACAATCATGTTGAACTAGGCGTAATACTCTTTGAGGGTCTCATATTCCCTTTGCTTGGTGTTCATGAGGTGAGAGACATCCACGTTATGCCTTTTCTGAGCGAAGAACTTGGCGCAGATTAGGGTGGCAAGTTCTTCGAAGTTGTGGATTAATCCATTGTGCAGCTGGGTGTAGCATTGAAATGCTACCCCGAAAGGTGGCACGAAAGAGCTAGCACATAGTAGCATTAGATGCCCCCCCACGAAGGGCATCAGAATCTAAAACACACTAAGGTGATCCTCCGGGTGGGAAGTCCCGTAGTATTGTGGCAGGTGGTGCGACATTTGAAAATTGGGAGGATTAGGCTGCTCGAGAATAGTCTGGGCGAGGGGACTTCCATGAACGGGATCACCAAGGAACCCCCGCGTGAGATGAGCCTCCAAATAGGAGAGGTCGAGTCGCAAGGCGGAGCCGTCATCCCATTTTTCTAGGCGGACCCCCAAGGGTTTCCTATTGTTGACTTGAGCTAACATGTCAGCCAGTGGGAGGAGGAGCCGAGGTCAGCGTCTTGATTTGTGCCTTGAGTTGCTCTATTTGGGCTTGGAATTGCTCACCGGAAGGTCAAGAGGGTGTTTCTTTATCTCGACTTCCCTAGGCTGGTCGGGAGCTTTTGGATTCCATCACAAACAAAGAATTGATATCGGGTATCCTTCAAGACTTTACTTTGGGGCCCCATAGTGGGAGGCAATTGTTGATGTCGGGGTTGTAACAGATGTGAACTCTTCGATCTTGTGTCCCCAAGCGATCTGAAGTGCCCATATATCGCAACCTTCCTTCGTGACTAGGGATGGCAATGGGTCGGGTTGGGTCGGGTTTTGTCAAACCCTAATCCAAACCCATGGGTTTATCCGTCACAAAAACCGGGGTAAAACCCACTGGGTTTGGAAAACTCAAACCCAACCCAACCCGCTAGGTATTCGCGGGTTCATGGGTACACATGGGTTTTTGTGGTAAACAATTTACAATAACAAATTCCTATCAAAATAAAATTCAAACATCAATTTTCCCATAAAAATTACTCATACATAAAACACCATCCTAGAAAATTCAAACATATCACAATTACACTAAATAAAATCACACAGAATAAGTGTAGTGAGAGTTAGATTGGAGGAAATTAGAATTAGGGTAGGGTTTGGGGAAAGTAGGGCAACGAAATAAGTGTGGGCGGGTATCCATGTCGGGTACCTCTAAACCCAAACCCAACCCAATCCAGTGAATAGTGTACGAGTTTAAACCCAAACCCGGCCCGAAACCCGTCAACGCGGGTAAAACCCGCGTTGACCGGGTTGGGTCAGGGAGGGTACCCGTGGGTTTGGGTTTTGTTGCCATCATCATTCATGACGTTGCCTCCTTTTTTCAGAGGGCATTAACATCATTTTGCGCGCGATATTTTTGAAAGGCCATTTTCCTGGGATATTGAAGGCTACGGATAACAGATTCTATTTGAGGCTATCCTTCACCGATTATTAATCTTATTAAGCACCGATTTTGGCGGATTTTTTGATGGATCCATTTTTGGTAAATTATAAAGGGTTACCATCACAGATTTTGGACGATTTTTTCGAAAGACCATTTTCGTTAGATTTTAGAGGCTATAGATCACGGATTCGGCCTGAGGTTACCTGGGACTATTCTCCACCAATGATGTTGCCAGAGGAACCAACAGACACTTCTGCAAGATATGGACACCAAAATCGGGCACCTGGCAATTGCCTTTGCTTCCAGACCGGCTGGCACACTTCCTGCCCAACCTCTGCCGAACCCCATAAATCATAAGGAGGGGTTACACACCATCATGTTGAGAAGTGGGACTATGACTGAGGATGCACTGCCGAAGAATGAAAAGAAGGTGACGCAGATCACCTCGGAGCCAAAAGAGGCCCTAGTGATGGGAAAGGAGCCAGATGTTCGAGCTCCACAGCCCCAGCCAGTAGTGGCTGAATATAAGCCTAAGCTCTCTTTTCCCACAAGGATGCACAAAGATTGGCTAGAGGCAGAGTTCGGGAACTTCATATCCATGCTTAGGAAGCTGAATGTTCAATTGCCCTTCCTGGAGGCATTATCTCAGATGCCTAAGTATGCGAAGTTCCTGAAAGATCTCCTCTCTAAGAAGAACAAGCTGAGCGAGTTGTCCACTGTGGAGCTTAGTGAGGAGTGCTCGACCATTCTGTAGAACAAGCTTCTGCAGAAGTAGAAGGACCCATGTAGTTTTACTATCTCGTGATCTTTTGGTAAATTGCATGTAGAGATGTCCTAGGTAATGCAGTTAAAAGCGCGATTCTACCTAAAAGCGAAAAAGGGGTAAAATCGTAAAACGTAGAATCAAAGCGTAAAAAAGTAAGTTTTTTATGCATAGTGTAAAATGGCTAAAAATATGTTAAGTACAACATATACTATGTAAAATATGAGTGCACATAATTTAAATAAGTTAATAAATACCTGCAACTCATGTCTAAAGTATAACAACTCATAGCATATTAACAATAAGTTCATAAACATAGATATTAACAATAAGCCACTGCCCCCTCTATGCTAATGAATTTGGGAACTCGTCAACTAGATTACTCTATTGAAGCTGAGAATGCATCCAAGATCTGCTATGTATCTTTTAATATGGGTTATAGGTATAATATGCCCCTCTACTATGACGTTTTATCAAACATGCCCCTCTACTATTTTTTACATCAAACATGCCCATGTACTTTGGAAAACTTATCAGACATGCCCTTTTGTTAAAATTTCCATCCAAAAACCGTTAACCAAGACCGAAATTTGGTTTGGGCGACCCAAATATCTAAAATATCCCTAATAATTTCACTTTAGAGTTTTTTTTTTTTTTTGTTCTTTTGTATAGCCAAATAATTCTAATAATTTCACTTTGACGAGACCTAGAGAAATAAAACAATGGTCAAAACTGACATTTCCCCTCCCATTTATCGATGTCAGGTCGTCTAAATCTCGATTCAACCATGATTGATGATTTTTGCAATGGAAATTTCAACTGAAGGGCATGTTTAATAGTTTTTCCAAATTACAGGGGCATGTTTGATGTAAAAAAATAGTAGAGGGGTATGTTTGATAAAACGTCATAGTAGAGGGGCATATTATACCTACAACCCTTCTAATATCAAATATATCATATTGTTGGTGATTTACCTTTAAAATATACTTTTTATAATAAATTTAATGAAAAGAATACAAATTTAGTGAACTAAAAGCGTAAAAACGTAAAGCGTTTTGGTTAGCTAGAAGCGTAAAACCGTAAGCTTTTAAGCTTTAAAACGCAATTTAGTCCGATTTTACACACTAAAGATTTTATATGGAAACGAAAGCGTTTTGGTGACTTAGAAGCATAAAATCGTAAGTTTTTAAGTTTAAAAGCGCGATTTTGACTGCATTGACTCCTAGGTGGACCTAGGTGCTAGTATCAATGTTATATCATACAAATTGTTCAAGAAACTAGGTCTAGGTGAACCAAGTGCAACTAGAATGAGTATTCAATTAGCTGACCGATCTGTAGTTCATCTTAGGGGCATAGTGCAAAACCTCCTGGTTAAGGTTGGCAGATTTTTTATCCTGTAGATTTTGTTGTCTTGGACATCAATGAAGAAGCAGAAGTGCCCCTTATTCTAGGTAGGCCTTTCTTGTCCACTGCCAAGGCTCTCATAGATGTGCATGATGGGACCCTGATTTTGAGGGATGGTGAGGAGCAAATAACATTTTCCATAGCTAATAATATGTCTGCTTTATCGCCTGTGCATGCTGTCTCTCACCAGGTGCACGAGTCTGTCATATATCCTTCTGTGCCTTTCGTATTGCAGGACTCTCCTCCCATTCCTTCACTGTCACTCCCGTCCGCCCCGTTACCAAAAGTAAAGATCAAGGAGGAGTGGCGGCCGAAACTGTAGGTAGCTAAGCCTGCTTAAAAGAAAGCTGGAGACCACTATGAGTTGGTCCCGGTTTCTGAGCCACGACCGCCCTGGCCATCCGAGTATTCACTTGCTTGCATCCTGTCAGATGGCCAGGTCGAGTTGACATGTGCTGGTTGTCATACCCGTCGTGTGCATGGCCACCATCTGAAGTTGTACCTCAAGAGCGATGTGGATCCGCTCTTGGAGGCGCCTATTCCAACACCGCTCTGAGCATCCACCCTCTGCGTCCAACTAAAGACGTAAAAGAAGCTCTTGTGGGGAGGCAACCCCACCATGGTTTTCTTTTCCTTTTTGGTTTTTTTCCATTTCAAACTATGGTTTCTATCACCCAGTGTGTTTTGATGACTCTAGCTCTGTGCCTTTTGACTGGTCCCATTTCCAGTCCTCCCCCTCGACTGGTACACTCTCTAGTCCCAGATGCACTCCGTTTTCCCGGTAACATCGTTCCCCTATGGATATGCAACCTTGGGAGGTAGTTGTAGCACTATGGAGAATGTTGAAGTATTAAATTTTTCCTATCTGTCTCTCTGCTTTGCTAATTGATTTTGTGAACTAGTGGATTTAGGACCGTTGATTCATGTGATATTAATGACTCCCTTATGTTGTGTTGTGGACTCGTGTATTGAAAAAGGGTGCTCAAGTGTGAAATGAAAAAGTAGTTGGTCCTCCATGTAAAAAACTGTGAAATTTTAAAACATGGGGTAAGCCCAACGTGTGTGGCACCGTTCATCGCACAAAATCGGGTTTTGGAAGAGATTTTAGTGATCCTTAGTGGGGTAAGCCTACAAGGTGAAGCTAAACCATCTCTAGTACAAGTAAAAATTTCACCCGTTGAACGGTTTGCCTACTTGAGGATGTGTTTTTAAGGGCACGGATAGAGCTTCCGACACCCCTTAATTTCATTGACCCTCCACACGAAGTGAGAAAAAGGAGTTAAAAGAAGTACTTTGGCGAGCGACAGATGTACAAAAATTTCTCTTGCTCACCTAATAAGTTTCGACCGCGCATAAAAACTGCAGTTGGAACCCCAGCAAAGTAAAAAAAACAAATAATAAGGAAAAGAGGGTTCCAACAAGTGAGATGAAATGAAAGAGCACCAGATACATAGAGTCCTTGGTCGTTAAATTGTGTGAGTCTCCTTATCCATGAATTGGTTGTCTTAGTCCCACTGCTTCTCATGATCCTGACTTGAGTCTAGTACTCGCATTGAGAGAGATAGGGGGCGTCTTAGAAGACCAGTTGACCTCGTAAGTTGCTAAATGATCTAGGAAATCCTCTGTCGACGATCGGGTTGCATGTTGTTGTAAAGTTCTTGAGAGCAACATTGGTTTGAGTCAGGTTTGCTTGGGGAATTTGATAACTCGATATTTGCATATGTTTTCGTCCACCATCCTTATACTGTTTGAGCCTCATTTCTGGTGTTTTAAATCGATTTCACGCTAGGGTGTTCTTGTTTGTGATATTTTAGGTCCTAGTACGTGAATGAAGGCTTGGGCACGAGTTTGGGGTCGATTGGACGAATTTTGGACAGTTGATGGGCACTGGGCAGGAGAGACAGCCACATGGTCTGGCCATGTTGTTGCATGGTCGTGTAACTTGACCGTGCAACACTCTCTTGCGCGGGCAAGGCGGTACTGGTCGTGCAAGTACCCCTTTTAGCTGCTGTGGGGGGATGTTCGATTATGTATGCGTGTGAATAGGGATGGCAATTTACCCACCCATGGGTATTTTTGCCCAAACCCAATTATACCCATTTATATGGGTATGGGTATGGATTTATTCTATATGGATTTGGATAGTGTTTGGGTAGGTGGAATTGGGTTTGGATTTTATTTTTGAGTATGGATTGGGCTTGGGTACCCATCTCCTTGGACCCACCTATATATTTTTTTTTTATTAGGTGTTAAAATGTAAAGCAAAATTTCTAATGTACTAAAATATAATTTTCCACATATGATGTTGAACCTATTTGTATCTTCTTAAAAACTTCAGGTACTAAAATGTAATTTTGGCTGTCAACAGTGTTTCAGCTGCTTCGCCGGCGACGGTTTCACGACGGGGAGGATGACGAATCGGACTTGAGAGTCGGCGGCGCCGGCGGCGGTGAGATTGGTGCTGTTGCCGGATGGCAGGGGGATGAGGCAGATTGTAGCTGTCGAGGAGGCAGATTTGGGCCGACTCTCTTTCAGCTCAGCCGCCGACGGCTGCTCCACCATGGAAAGGCAGTACTTGGCTATTTCTTGAAACTTGGGGACGCTTCTCAGATCCACCTTCGTCCCGTCTCTGAGCGTGATAATCACGTCCCCCCACTCGCCGATGAACCGCGGCACCACCTGCACGTCCTTTATCCCCAGATGAATCTTTCGTTGGAACCTGCTACTAGACTCATGGCCGCCGGCGGTAATGGTGGTGACGGCCGCGGCGGGGTTCTGATGGGGGGATTTGGCGATCTGATAAAACCGCCGCCGGTAATGGTGGTGACGGCCGCGGCGGGGTTAAGGGACCGGAAAACAGGGGAAGAGCAAAGGAATTATTATGGAGAACTCTGGCATTTCAGCAGCTTGAAGATGCCTATCCTCCTCACGTGAGTAGTCACCAGTATAGAGCACACGAACACCAGCAATGTCAACCATGAACATGGCAGCACCAAGAACATGGAGTTGTTTAATTAGACGCAGAATAACAAAGAAGCTACTCACTATACCTCAATTCTATCCATGGAGTTGTTTATGTCTTGTTCATCAAACAACATGTCTTCAATGGAAACTTTGCTCACTTTCACGTAATCCGTCAGAAGCAATTTGTAAATGGCCTTTGTGGGATGAGTCATGAAAACTTTGCCTCTGAATGTAGTCTGAGTAAAACAGTATAAAGTAAGCTACAGAACCACAAACCACAAACCAAGTGAAAGCTGCAAGCAGGCAGAAGGGTAGGAATCCTTATTTTGATATTCCTCTGCTCATTTTGATATTCTTCATAATAATTCCTCTGTCCTGATCCCTACCCTTCCAACAACAACAACATAACAACAACAACAACTACAACAACAAGTAAACCACAATAGAAAGCTTCATAATAATTCATCCATGATCATCAGTACATGTTCACCAACAGCAACACCACTAGAAAGCTTCCTCTGTCCTGATCCCTACCCTTCCAACAACAACAACAATAACAACAACAACTACTACAACAAGTAAACCACAATATCCATCCATGCCACTCACGTCACTGACAACCAACAACATACAAACTCCCAGATTCTTTCTCAGTCCTCATATTCCATAACTTGTTCATCATCACCGCCATCATTCTCACAGAATATGGTTTGAGTCGAACCATCAACGTCTGAAGAGAAGATGGCCACACCTACAGAAAGGGAAACCAAGAAGGTATGCACTCAACCACAACATACACAGAAGGTAAATAATGAATAACTGCAACAAGAAGTTGTTTCTTACCATGAAGTTCATTCCTAAGCCAGTTCTGGGTGCACATAAGAGCCTCCACAGTCGTGTCATCAAGGCGGCTACGATGAGGGTTCAATAATCTTCCACTTGTGCTAAATGCAGATTCCGAGACAACTGTTGACACTGGAATGGCCAGAATGTCCTTAGCAATCAACCTTAAGGTTGGATATTGTAGGCCATTGTTCTTCCACCAAGACAAAATGTCGAACTCTTCGCTTCTTGAGATCAAACCATCTCGCAAGTATTTGTCAAACTCTTCTTTAACATTCCAATTAGATCCAGTACTCCCAACATAAGAATCAAAGCTGGCAAGAAACCCAGAACTTGCATGTTGATGTGGCGATGAAGAAGAAGAAGAATCCATGCTAGGTTCTGTAGTCTTGTACTCACTCATAAGATCATAACAGAAGTCTCGAATCCTACTAAAATGAAATGTAGATGTGCCAACATAAATCTTGGGAAAGGCCCACTCTAATAGCTTCATCTTGAACCTAGGATCCAATATAGCTGCAACAGCCAACGTTCCATGGATAACCTCCCAATACCTATTGAATTTATCCAACATCTCTTCAGCCATGGTTGCAATAGTTACATTTGGACTCAACTGCCACTCGTTTAGAGCTATTTTAATCTCACAAACCTTAGGGAAAAATGTATTAGCCGTGGGGTAAGTTGTTCCTGAAAATGTCTTTGTAGCTTCATGAAACAACTCTAGTTTCACACATAATTCAGATGCCATATCCCATTCCTCTTCACTTGGAAAACATACATAATCTGAATCTCTAACAATCAAACGATCAAAGACATCCTTATATATCAAAGCAGTGGATAGCATAAGATACGTAGAGTTCCAACGAGTCTTACAATCAAGCACCAACTCTCTCGAACAATCAATATTTGTAAACCTGCCTAACACATCATTGAACTTTTGTCTTCTCTTAACAGATGAAGTCCAATACACAACACTATCACGAATTCTCCCAATGCATTCCTCAATGACAGACAACCCATCTTGCACGATTAGGTTGAGAATGTGAGCAGCACATCGCATATGAAATATAGAACCATTTAGCAACAACGTATCTTCTTGCAATTTTCCTAAAAGAGCTCTAATCATAGCATCATTAGTACTGCAATTATCCACGGTCACTGTTGAAATTTTTCTCTCAATGTTCCATTCCGTCATAGAACTCAATAATACAGCACATAGAACATCCTTGGTATGTGGAGAAGGAACGTGGATAAAGCTCAAAATCTTACTATGAAGGACCCAAGCATCATCAATAAAGTGACCAGTTACTACCATGAATCCTCTTTTCCTGTTATTCGAAGTCCACATATCAGTGGTAATCGCCACCCTACTGCTGACTTTTTCTAACTCATGCATTACATTCATTTTTGCCTTTTTGAATATCTTTAAAATATCACTCTTGATTGTATTTCTACAAACCATTTGAAACAACGGTTGAAGAGAATACACAAACCTCCTAAGCCCAACATAATCGACAACCGATAGAGGAAATTCATGAAGAACAATCATATAAGCAAGCTCCCTTCTACTAGTTTCTTGGTCAAAAACAACCGGACTCGAACTTCCAGTACCAATTTTCCTTTTCTTACTACCCAAAAGTCCACCCATCATGACTGGATCAGCATTTTTTACTGGACATTTAACCAAATGATTGCGCAAATGAGAAGTTCCAGAGTTGGATTCAGCAGCAAGCTTTCTATGGCAGTATTTGCATTCAGCTTTTCTTAACCCACTAATTACAACTCGATCATAATCCTTCCACACATCAGACCACTGCTTCTCAGAAGACCATACCATACGACTAGAAGACACACTAGGCTGTCCATGATTACTACTCTCATGATTCATAGATAGACTATCATCATTAACTTCTGAAACCATGTTTCCCTAGAAAAATCAAGCAACAAACAATCATTCAAACTAGCTGCAACAACACAATTATTCAACCAAATAAGAATTAAACTAAGTTCACAAGCAGCAAACTGTCAAAGCAGAGTCAAATTGAATAAACTAAGTTCGTTAATTAACCACCCGACCAGAAGTTTAGATATGGCACTGACCTTGAAACTATCTGCTCCAATTCTCTCAATTTTGAGATGATTTTGCTGTAAGAAGATGCTGGAGTTTGCTTGAAATAGAAATACAAAACCACTAGGAGAGTCTTTCACCCTTCCTTCTGAGTCCTGACCTAGACAGTTTTCAGGATGTTGCCGAGACCTCGAGGCTCAGTCAGCGAACAGGATTAGGGGAAGGCGAGGCAGGAGGGTATCCTTGTTTTACAGACCATGGCGGGCGTTGGTTGTGTTCCTGCACATAATATACACGAATCACGGTCAAACCTTGTGGGTATATAATGAATCAGGTTAGAGAAACAAGAGTCACTTTGTTAAGTTCATAGAAGAAAACATATCGATTAACATCCAAACAAAGCAAAACTTAACAACCATCCATAAGGTGAAAAGCGTCCTCGTCTTCATGTCTTGTGGGTCTTATAAACTAAGTTCGTTAATTCAACCAAGTTCGTTAATTCAACCAAAAAAGATCCATCCAGTAAAGGAATTGGTGCAACCCACAAACCCACAGTTCATACCCAATTCACAACTAAGACCCATTCAGAAACCCTATGCCCTGAATATCACAATTCACCACTGCAAGCCAATGATTCTGGAAGAAATTAGCAGTCAGATTTCTTAGCTTCACAATCAGTAGTAAAATACTGAAAGAAAGCAGGTAGTGGCAGTGGTCCTCTCCTCCAAACCATAGAGGCAGCCTAGGGTATCACAAAACAAATGGCAAAAGAAGAAGAAAAGCAAGCAAACAAACAATATCATCACAACTCCTCCAACATAAAACAAAGTTCATAAGACCCAGTTCAAAAACATAGGGTAAGAATCGTAAGATGAACAATACCTGGAGCCAGGCGGAGTGGGCTTCTCGTGGTCTCGAGATTGAAAGGGAGAGAAGAGCAGGTGATTCGCGAAGCTGTTGGCGATCTTGTCAGGGTAGGCGGCCAGACCCTCTTGTTCTCTGGAATCCCACCGATTGACAAAAGAGAAAACGGGTGCTTCGAGATCGGGAGGGAGAGGAAGAACTGGCGAATCGCGAAACCGCCGGCGGTGTTGAGGGGGTGGGCGACGAGGCAAAGCGACCAGATGCCCAGACCCTCTTGTTCTTCGGAATCCGAGCGATCGAGAGGGATAGGAGGAGCTGGCGTCTGGCGAGTCGCGAAGCCGTCGGCGGTATTGAGGAAGATCGACGTCGATGGGTCGATCTGAGAAGTGAGAAGGGTCGAAGACTCGATCTGAGTGAAGAGCCGAAGAGCTGATCGAGTCCGTGATGTTTTTTTTCTCTTTTCGTTTAATTACTTGGGTTTGGGTTTTTTAACCCAAATCCATGGGTAAAACCCAACTGGATCCAACATTATGGGTATGGGTGTTGACCCATTAGACTTTACCCATTTAAAGTTGACTTGGATTTCAGACCTGACCCACCTGGGTTGGATACTTAAAACCCAATGGGCATGGGTAATTCTGCCATCCCTACGTGTGAATGTTTGGTTGTATGTGTGTGCTTGGAGCCTAGTCCACTGTCCAAATTTTGATTTTAGGGCTCCAAGCACTTGTTCCTTGCAATTGCCTGCTCAGTATGCTTTGAATTGACACTCTTTATAGTAATATGCAACCTAAGGAGGTAGTGTAGCACTATGGAGGATGTTGATGCATTTAATAAGTCTCATTTCTTCTTCATATTGTGTTGGTTGATTGTGTGAATTAGTGATCTCAGGACCCTTGAATCCTGTGGTATTATGGACTCTCTACCTTTCATGGACTCATGTATCATGTTTTGAAAAACAAGGTGCCTAAAATGTGCTTTTAAAATACCACAGGATTCAAGGAGATTAGTTAGGGGTTTAATTAGATCAATAATTTTCAAGTTTTGTGTGTAAACCCAAATTAGGTCAATCATTTTTTGTCAACAAAAATTTGGTCTCAAAATTAAAAAAAATTCTTCCGGAAAATTTGTATTTAATAATGATGACGAACTATACAAAAATTAACATGAACAAATTATATTAAGACTTCGATAA